TAGCGAGGGGGAACTTTAGGTTCAGAAAGGGGAGGCGACTTTCCTTACAACTAGTTAGTGACAGAGCTAGGACTTAAACCTAAGTCTCTGAATCCTAAAACTTGTAGCTTCAGAGGGGTGACAAAGAATAGAGGTTAACAGCATGGCACTTTGGAATCAGAACCAATCTAAACTTCCAGCCCTACTCTCTCTTAGCTATGTGACCTCAAGCAAATTCCTTAACCTCTCTGGGCTTTAGTTGCCCCATCTATAAAATGGACATAATAGAAGCTACTTGATAGAATTTTCAGGATTAAATGAGACAGAGAATGCACTTCACATATTGAAGTGTGCTAAGTGGGAGCCGCTCCTCCCTGGCCCCAGCCAGGGACCTCCCTGTGCCCACAGGCACATCCACGCACACACGTCTTCCCACCCCAGCCTCTCTACCTCTTTCCCTCCAGCGACCAGCCGCTGCCTGCATGTTTTCCACCGCTGGCTTGAGCCGAAGGGGTTGTGGTAGCTCTAGCGGGTTCCAGTTGGGAGTCTGGCGCTGCTCTTGATTAATTTCCCCAGTGCCACACAACGTTTCATGTGGCTGTCCTTTGTAATTATGCGTTTCCCCCCTAGGGTGTCCAGGATGGGGCTGTTTTTCTATTTTCTCCCCTTTATTCCTGCCCCTGTGCTTTCCCCCGGCTCTGTGCCCAGCCCCTCCTGGGCTGCTGCTCTGTTTTTCCGCGCTTTCCCCCTCCCCGGCCCGGCCTCGCCCCCACCAGTTTCTATTTTCCCCCTGTCTCCGCCGGCTTCCCGCGGTTTCTCTTGGCCTGTGCTCAAGCCTGGCGTGACACGTCTGGCGTGACCGCTCTCCCCCTCCCACATCAGTTGGGGAGGAAGCAAGTGTATCCAGGGAGGGGAATTGGGGGGGCTGGGTGCTGCCAGCCCAGGTGCCAAGCCAAACAGCCTGTGCGCCACGTCTGACTCGGTACCTGGGGCCTGGAATGCTGGGCCGGCTGGCCCCAACCCTTACCCAGCCCTACCCAAGACTCCCCCAAACCTAGTTCCTACTTCCCAAAGTCTGGTTCTAGCTGGTAGAAAGCAGGACCACGGGGCTGGTCTTTCCCTGAGTCTCTGAGAATGTCTATGAGAGTATTCAGGGATCCCCCCCACAACCCGCCGCCTTCTGGAGATAAGAATGGTCACTTCCAGGGACAAGAGGTGTACCTGGCCTGCTCTGGGGAGGACATCCTACCCCTGGAAGAGCATAGGCAGAGGTTTGTCCCCTGTATGCCTCCCTCCTCTATTGGCTCTGCTGATACTCCTGGGGAAGCAGGAAGATCACTGATGGTGGCAGTTTTTGGAATACAACAACCACGGTGCAGATCTGTCTTCCCAATTCACCAGCCCTGACCTTGCAGAACCCCCACACTTGTCAGTCTCTGTTTCCTCATCTATGGCAGAGGGGGGAGTCCCTAAAGAGGATCTGTGAGGAAGAAATCAGACAGGGGTGTCAACCCTCCCCGGAGCGCTAGCTCACAGGGTGCTCCACATATGGGCCCATAACCCACTTCTCCCTCAGCCTAGCAACTGGGGCTGGTCTTGCTGTCCAAGATGGAGGGACCAGAAACAAGGGGAGCAGCACCACACTGAGGTCTGAGGAGGTCTCTCCTTGAATCCCTACAACTTCCCAAAGCTCAGGACATAACATCAATCATACAGACTCTTTGGGCTTGTGCATCCCTCATTCACTATACACATGCACACACACTGTGTCCTACAGTCACAGCGACCAACCTTCCAGCCTGTCTGGTCACCCTCTGGGCTTCACTTCTTATTCACAACTTGTCCAACACGTTCATCATGAGCTCTTATCCTGCACCAAGCTCTTGGTGACCAGGTTCTCCGTCCACCCTGAGGTCAAAGCCAGAGAATCGGTTGTTGACTTAACTTCGCTTTTCCAACCCCCACATCCATCAGTGGTACTACTAATCATAATGGTAACTGTGCTGGAGGCAAAGAAAGGTACTGTTCTAGGTCATTCATGCTTATCACCTCACCTCATGCTATCCTATGGAGGTACATAGATACCATCCTCATCTCCTTTTTGTTAATAAGGAAACAGAAGGACAGCTGTTGAGTAACCTGCCTGGGGTCTCCCGAGTGGTAAGTGAGGGAGGTGAGATTTGAACCCAGGGAGTCCGACACCAGAGTCCTGACCTGGCTCCTTGATATTCCCAGAGTTCACCAACATCTCCTCTTGCTTTGGCTGCTGTCATACTCACTTCACTCAGGAGTCTCTTTGCTGGCTCCTCACCTCCAGGTTGGCCCCCATCTGCTGCCAAAGATGGAGGGGAGACCCAAACCCTATCACATTGCTCTCCTGCTAAAAGTCTTTCAATGGCTCCCCACTCTTTTTTAGATACTGGGGATGGAACCCAGGCCCTCATGCACGCCAGGCAAGCACTTGACCACTGAGCCACACCCCAGCACAGCTCCCCGCTTGCTTAAGCATAAAGTTCAAAGCTTTAGCAAAGCCCTTGCCTACCTGTCAGGATCATCACTTGCTAGTTCCAGATCTTTCCCCATCACTGCCTTTCCCACTAGGCCCCAACACAACACACACACACACACACACACACACACACACACACATACACACACACTACACACACAGTTCAGCCAAACTCCCTCCTGCAAATTCTCTAGAGCACACTCAGGATTCCTTCTTATCTCTGTGCATGTGCTGTTCCTTCTACCTGTGGCAGTCTTCCTCTTCACCATACTGACACTTCCTAATCCTTCAGAACTCAACTCAGGTTTGCGGTCCTAGTAAGGCCTCAAAATTATTTGCAAAATGAATGAATCGATGACCATTTAGACAAACAATATTGCAATAGTATCATCACGTATCACAGCTGTGTAGAACGTTTTGCAAATCCTTCCCATGTATTGCACAGTCATCTTCATGACAACCCTGTGAGGTAGGCAGGGAAGATAGTTAGCCCCACGATAGTCAGGGTAGGTGCCAGGACCATAGGCCACGTTTTCCTCTCTGGCTGGCTTGTACTTTTCCCACAGGATTGCAAGAGGCAAATCTATTCATTTACCTTACAACTGTGGAAGTGGGGAATGGGGCCTCTGTCCCCATCCCCTGACCCACACAAGCAACAGGGAGTCATGGGGTTGGGGGAAGACACTAATTATCTAGATCTCCAAACCAACAGGGTCTGCCCACTTCCCAGAAAGTGTAGGGAAAATGGCGTGTCTAGTTCAGAAGCTCCATGCCTAGTCTGAAAGTGAGGCCTTTAGAACCCCTAAGCAAAAAATGGGATCCACGAGTTTAAAAAAATTTAAAAAGCAACTTAACCTTAACATAAGTGCAAAGAAGTCCAGTGAACTCCAAGTTTTTTCCCATGAAGGCCTCTTTGATGCTCTGGATGAAATGTCAACCCCCCCCACACACACACACACACCCCTCTTATTTTTGGCTGTCCCTGTCCTTTGCTGGTGCCCTAAGTAAATGTTTAGTCTGCCCGCCAGAGGGGGAGCAAGCGCAGGCTTTCCTAGCCTTTGATCTCCTGACCTTGGCTCCTAGGGGCAGCCGGGTTGCTGGCTCTGTCCAGTGGTGGGGCTGGCTGGAAGGAGAGGGGTGGCTGGGGCCAAAGGCCTAGACACATTGGGATGGAGGGCGAAAAGAAAATGAGGGGAGACAGACAGGTTCGGTCACTGGGGCAAATCAGGCAGCTTGGGGGAGGGCAGACACTGAGGTTCAGAAACAGAGAAGGAAGTGAGAGGATGCCCCAGGGAGTTTAGGGGATAAAGGTCCCAACCATGGTGGCCATGGCACAGCTAGCTAGGCAGGACCCCCAGGACTGGGTTTTTGTTTGTTTGTTTTGTTTTGACTGGGAATTGAACTCAGAGGTGTTTTACCATTGAGCCACATCCCCAGCCCTTTTAAATTTTGAGACAAGGTCTTGCTAAATTGCTCAGGGTCTCTCTAAGTTTCTGAGCCTGGCCTTGAACTTGCAATCCTCCTGCCTGAGCCCCCTGAGCTGCTGGGATGACAGGTCTGCAGCACTCTGCCTGGCTGGACCCATGTTTTTATGATGGAATGGGAGAAAAGCCCACCCCAAACTCCTGCCACTCAAGGGCAGTCAGGACAGTTCTGAGTTGTCTGACTTCCATGTCCATGCACTGGGCAGGGCCACAGCAGGACCTACAAGCTGTGAATAGCAGAATACCAGAGGCTTTTTTCCTTTCACTGTCAGCGCTTCTGTTTCTCCTGCTGGCAGGTGTCATGCTCCAATCTCATCCTCCAACTTTGATTTCTCTCTAAATCCCCGCTTGAGCCCCCTGCCCCAATGAATCCATTCTCCCACAGGATGATGAGATGTCACTGGAAATGCAGTGGTGTTCAACTGGCATGTGTGAGGCACCACCTACTCTGTTCCAGCTCTGTGCTGTGTGTTGTGTGGATAAACCCAGCACCTGACCCAGAGGACCACAGTGGGCTAGGTTCCATCACCCCGGAGCACCTGTTCCCACTCTCGGGCAGGCTTGATCTTGCTGCCATGATGCCCCTGCTGGTCAAGAAGGGAACTACAGGCTCCTTGGAGGAATGGATCTGTCATGGGTGGCCCATGACAGCCCATTCTCCTTCCCACCCACCTTCTCTCCTTGCGCAGAGCCCTGGGGGCAAGAGCGGGCTAGGTGGAGGAGACAGCCCCTTCCTGATGCTCTTTGGGAACATGGCAGAATGCCAGTCGCCTCGGGACTGCTGCCCTGGTGGCCCTACCTAGGGAGGTCTCCCTTCCCCTAATACACACACAAGGGAACACAGACGCACTGCTGCCGACAACAACCAAACCCCCCAAGAAACCAAAGTCGGGAGGAGCCAGCTGTCTGGAACACGGAGTGGAGAAGGGGATCTGAAGGAGAAGGAAGGGCTGAGGCCAGGGGCGCCTGGACTGCGACTCAGCTCCCAGGAAGCGGGTGACCCCCAGGACAGCCCCTCAGTGACTCACAGAGACTGCAGGCCCGGCAGCTCCCACAGCGCTTCCGCCGGGATCCCTCCCAGCTCGTTGTTCTGCAGCATCCTGGAAGGGAAAAGGGGCTTTGAGGACCCACAGGGCATGAGGCCAGGGGTGGCAGGGGGTGAGGGGGTCCCCGCTTGAGCCCCCTGCCCCAAGCCAGGCCCCTCCCTCTTGCTTGAGAGCCCCAGAGGGAATCTTGTTCCAGCCCCTCCCCTCTATTGCTAGTGGGGAGTCGGAGGCTGTTGAGGTGTGCACTGGAGGCTGGGAGGCCCAGAGTGGGGAGAGAGCATCTCAGAAGAGCTTCCAGGATGAGGCAGGAGGAAAGAGAACGGTGAAAAGGAAGGGAGATGTCCTCGAAGCAACAAGGGCCGAAGTTGGAATCCATGGAATTCTGCTGAAGTTTGGCAGGAAGCACGTGGGGAAATATGGATTTTTTTTCTCCCTGGGCCTCAGTTTCTCTAGCTATTCAACTAAGAGGCTAAAGGTTCCTCTGTGGAAGAGGAGGACACCAATGAGGGTAAGGCCAACCCTAGGGTGTCAGGGTTTCAGGAAAATGTGTTTTTAGAGTCCTTGTCTGTAGATACAGTTTGAAACCCAGCACAGTGGCACATGCCTGTAGTCCCAGTAACTCAGGAGGCTGAGGAAGGAGGATCCCAAGTTCAAGGCCAGCCTCCATGAAACCCTGCCCCCAAATTAAAAGGGTAGCTCAGTGATAGAGTATCATTGGTTTTTATCCCTAGTACTATAAGAAAAGAAAGGAAGGAAAGGAGGGAGGAAGGGAGGGAGGAAAGGAAAGAATTGAGGCTGGCCCATCAGATCAACACACCAGCCTGTTCTGGTGGGCCAGCCTCACACAACAGAATTTAGAAAAGTAACAGACCAACTCGTGGAAATGACCCTCTGGCCAAGCTGCCTTCCTGGAATTGGGGCTGGGCCACAGGATGTCTCCCCAGACTGGGATCGTGGAGCTCCTGGGGGCATGCAGGGAAACCCCAGGGAGCATGCAGTCGGGGAGCAATGACAGAATGGGACACCTTTCCCAGAGGCACCACTAACTCCAGCCAACTCCAGGCAGCAGAGGGACCTTAGGACATTTGAGGAAGGCACCCCACACTGCAGGAAGTCCCTGAGGTAGGACCCCTGAGCAAGGGTCCTGCTTGCCTGGTTCTAAGGGAGATACTGGAGGACAAAATGGAGAGAAGCCTTTGGGTAGCCATTGCCATCAGAACATCCTTTACTTCTGAGCCCCCAGATCCAGAAATGAGAAGAGGGCACCCAGGGAGCAGGAGCTCTGGAAATAGCTGAAGAAGCAGGAAGGATATGGCTGACTGTCCCAGGCACGGTGAGGGAGCACCCCCTCCTAAGCTGTGCATGCAACCTGTCCGGGGAGGAGTCAGGTGCATTTGTGGGTCTGCCTCAGCTGCCTAGGCTCCTTGGGAATTATGGGGGGTGGGGTGCAGGAGGCTGATCTCTCAGTGAGCACTTACTATGTGCCCCAGTATGTTGCTGACCTGAGGGGTCCAGTCTTCCCTCTAAGGTGTTATTGTTAGCCCTGGTTCAGAGGGGAAGGTCAAGGCTCCAAGAGGATAAACACCTTGCCCAAGGTCACGTAGGTATCACTGGGCTTCAGGGAACGGGGCTTATTTCCTGATCTTGACTTTAGTAATAGTAAGAGCTGGCTTGCCAAGACCTGGTGTTGGGGTGTTAACAGGTATTCACCCAAACCTATCCTTATTACAACTCCACCAGATCATGTCAAGGTCACACTGCTGATAAGGGACAGACAGAGCTGGGGTTTGAATCCAGAGGTTTAGACCCACAGTCTGGATGCTTAACCAATGATACCACATAGCACCTATCTCGATGGCAGGGTAGAGCAGGGGCCAGAAAATGCTGATGAGCCTGGTAGCTATTGTTGCCTGCTGTGTGATTGTTCAGGTCAGAGTCACCTGTTACCTTCCCTGATCTCCTCTTACGGATATATGAAGACCCCAAATACAAACCAAATTTCAGCACCCTGGGACAGGATGCTCATCTACTGCAGGAATGTGGGGAGTGCAGAAAGGAGCCCCTTGTGGAGGCATAGCTGAAGATGAGAGAAAATTCAGACTCAGGCAGCCCAGGACTGGGGTCTTACCCAGCAGGAGAGAGGGAGGGAAGTGTGGGAGAAGGGCAGGCTGCCCTGAGCAGCTGGAGGACCCTGCCCCTTTCCATGCACACTCCGTGATCCCAAAGGTCTCAGCCTCCTGGTCCCTCCAGCGCAGACTCTAAGCGGTGTCAGAGAGAGCTTTCCAATGATGGTTTCCCTTCATGAATGGAATTTAAACCCGCGCCTCTCCAGCTTCCTTAAATATGATGTCCCACGTGAGGCTCTGTCAGATGGCCCTGAGACTGCATCCCCAGCTCTGCCCCTCTCCAGGGGTATGAAAGGTGCAATTGCTTAAACTCCCAGGGCCTCTGTTTCCTCCACTATGGACTGGGGATAATGATGGTGAACTCAGGTGCTGACTGTGATCAAATAAAATAGCCCTTGAAAACCCTGTGCAACAAGAAAAAACTAAGGTGATGCTGGCGGACATCACTGACCGTTATTAATATCTGGTCTCAGTTCTACCACTTACTGGAGGACTGGAGTAAGTCACTACCCTCCTCTGGGCCTCAAGACCCTCATCTGTTAAAGGAAGAAGCTGCCAGAAGATGCACAGACTTCCCCCAGTTGTAGCAGTCAAGGATTCGGTCTCTCCTAACCACACACAAAGAAGTGACAGGTCAACCAGGGGAAGGGACCCATTCTTCAGGCTCCTCTCCTGGAACTGAGGCCTGCTTGGCCAAGGGACTCCAGGGCAGCTCCCTGGGCAAAGATGCTGGAGCTCCTGGGAACCCGCACTTCCCTGTGCAGGTAGAGGAGATGAGGGCATGCAGGGGGGAGCTCCTCTCCTTCCAGCCACCTGACTTCTTTCATGGGAAAAGGCAAGCACTTCTCTCCCCACCTGAGTGAGCTGCCTTGATTCTCACCCCGAGGCCTCAGCATGCTTGAAGCAAAGTACAGGGAAATGATGGCTGGGAAAGGGAGCTGGGGCTGCTCAGGCCGTGCATTCCTCCAGGACTAGACCCGAACAGGTACCTTCCACCGCAAAGAGCACCTCCATGTATCTCCACCCTCCAAAAAGCCCCACCCCTTCCTCTGCCAAATCCTAAACAGGGAAATCTAGAAAGACCTTTAAGGTGTAGGAATCGTACCTCCAACACAGATTCTGCAGTATCCTCATGGGGCTCTTAAGTTATTTTCCACTGTCAGGGAACTCAGTGTCTCCCCAGAGAACTCATGCCAGGCCACACCACCTGGCCACCAGAAAGCCCCTTCTTTCCTGAATCAAAACCCAGCAAGCTGGAGTCCAGCACGGCATTTGGTTCCGGCCCCCACCTGCTTCCAGTGCTGTCCCTGGTCTCGTCACCCAGCCATCAGCTTCTTTATTGAAGCACAGTCAGGTTTTAAAGACTGGAAGGACTTTTAGAAGGGAGCAGCCTCTTTGTTTTCCAAGATGAAGAGATGGAGGATCAGAGAGGGGTGGTGACTTGCCCTGAATTGCAAAACAGATTAATGGCAGGATCCCAGGATTTCAGTCCTGTGTCCCAGGCCAGGGCTTTGTGACCTTCCCTACTTCTCTTGCTGGCCCTGGTTCTGCCTGGTGAGGCAAAGTCTGTTTAATCCTGTGCACTCAACTCTGACTGCATGTTAGAATCACCTGGAAGGTTTTTAAATTCCCAATGCCCAGCCACAC